AAACCTGAGGGGGAAAAATTTATTTTTTTTTAACAAAGGATAGTACTGTATACCAAAATACATTTCTGAACTTTCTAAGATTGCAATTTTTAATTCTTTGCCTTTCCTGGGCATTAAAGTTGTTTATACAATCTTATTTGAATATCATAGTCTTCCAGAGTTTTTAAGATACAGCTTCATTAAGTTATTTTCATGTCCTAAAGACAAATTGTTTGCTCTGTGTTTTATTCTCATTCCCTATTTGACAGTTAACAAGGACTCCATTGTTCAAATTCATGCTTTATGAAAATATATATTTGTGTAAATTATACTTACAAAGCTTAGTATTTCCAGGTACATGTTGTTACCAACTCATTCACAGGTTATAAAAAGGTTATAGGAGAGAGATAGGACTCTTTCTTAGGAAGTTATAAGATAGGAAATAATACATAATACTTCCTCCTAAACTCCACTTCATAATTTTTGTAATTAAAAACTGGCTAAAAAGAACATTAAGGGCAGTTCCTATTTTGGATGACTCCTACTCAGAAAAAGAATACATTGACTCATTCATTAAATATTTATTGAGTATCTGCTAAACAGTTTCAAGCCTATGTCTAAATATGCAGTTGAAGCATGTATGAGAAAAGTGAGAGAGAGAACAGAGAAGGAATACAGGTGAATCCTGAGTCCTATACTCATCGACTCCATCTACTAGCTAATGGAAGTACCTATTTCTTCTCAAATTTCCCTTTCCTGAATCTCTGTCTAGCCATCTACTACTTCTCTGAGTCACATAGGCTTCCCTGAATGGATTGGATATGGGCATTCATCGCCACTCAACATTGCTCTGGGGACAAACTTATTTCAAGATTAAGTCAACAAGTTCTTAAGTATTGATTTGTAGAAAAGTCATTTTAATCTTTGCAATAGAGAAAGTGGGAAATGTTGCACATTTGCTCTTCTTTGTTTTACTTTGCAAACAGCAAAAATGACAGGTTTAGATTAAGAATAAGGATGATTAATTAAGTGATGTAAAATCAGACAGACCTCAGCTTTACAATTACACATCAATAGACACTATATATTTAAGATAGTCCTTTCTTAAAAAAAAATAATTATGCTTTGCACCTGTAATGATCACAAAGAAATACTGAAGTTCTAATTTCCTCAATATTTTATTGCATTTGGTTTTATATTAAAATATATAACATTGTTTTATATAAAGTAAAATAAGAAATATACTAAGATAAACACATATTTAAAGATTTCTCTAGAAGAAATCTAGAAACGCTAGGGGATAAAAATGAATGGTAACGCTTGTAAAGGAAATCCTTGAGAAAAAAACAGACAGAATCTTAAGCCAAAATAAACTTTTACCTAGCATTGAAAGAGTGGTGGAGTTCAGCATTTTCTAATCTCAAAGATCTGAAATTATAAAGATCATTCATAGGTGAAAAAACATGATCTACTGCTGCCCTAAGTTGAGTCAGGAATCCTTGAACTACTATACCTTCAGTGAAAGACTAGATAAGAAACACTAGTCACCTGCAAAGACTCATGACAAGAAGCCATGTTTATTTCAGCATAATACTAAGTCTATGCTGTCTTGGGTATCTAATTTAAATTCACCTTATCTGTGTGGTTCAAAGAGAAGCAAATAACAACTCAGTCCTGGGATGGACCTGCCTAGGCTTCCTGATAGTCAATGCAAATCTTTTGCAAAGGGATGCATGGTCAACCTAGTCCTTAGGTGACTCCACAGATTAAATGATGAAATTTACACAAAAAAGCAAATAGACACAATCAGTTCAAATTAAATAACTGTGGAGCATCTCTTTTTCCAAGGACAAAATATCACCTCCAAATGATGTTCATGTTGCTTTAATTATACCAGAGGGGAAAGATAAGATTTTACCTGATCACTTGAAATCTGAATGAGAAGAGAAAATAGAAGCCAAGTAGAGTCATACCTTAGTACTTGGCTGCTGTGAAAGTCAAGTTTGGTACTTGACACATTTTGGTGTGAAAACTTTGTCCTAATATTTGTGGTTCGTTTGACATTCAGTGCATAACCTAGAACCTGTCAGTGTCCATTGCCTCATAACTTGCTACGCTTTCCAGCCAAAACAATTTGTGTAGTATAGTATTTGTTTTTGGTATTTGTTACATCTCCCAGAACCAATTAATGAATCGTTAGTTGCCAGTGTAAGACCGTTGTGTCTTTTCAGTTCTAGGCTGCAGATCCAAATCCTGAGAGCATTACTGCATTAACCTTACGAGAGGGCCAAGACAATAGATTTAGAGCAACTACTAGAGGAAATTAAAAATGATTGACAATTGTCTTAGATACTTTTCTCTCGTTGCTAAGACAAAGTACCCAGTGCCTAAAGTTAATAGGGGAAAGGTTTATTTAGCTCACAGTTTGTAGAGGTTTCAGTAATTGGCTGGCTTCAAGACAGGATGGTACATGCATGGCAGAGGAACAGCCATGCATGGTGGCAGATGACAGCAAAAGCAAGCGAGGGAAGGGGGACACAAGCCTCTTTCTGCCTCTTTTGTCTTATCCAGACTCCTGGGATTAGGGTGATGCCAATCCAACCAGTGGACTGATGCATCAATCATCCATCCTTAATCCCTGCGCATTTAATCCTAGCAGTGAACCATGAATCAATCACAAACTAGATTCTTCCAAACAGCTACTTCCAAAAAAACCTAAGACTGCATGAGGCTTTTTTTGGGGGGGGGCATCTGGACACAAAACATAAGAGCAATTAGTAACTAAACTTTATAAAATGGTGAGGTTGTGATTATAATTAAAGGCATCTTTAAAGGAAGTCATTTGAATAAATGTAGACAAAATTGGTTGCTAGTCTTGACTACTATTTAAAAGTATATTTTATGAGGTCAACAGTGCTGCACACCCAGTAATGTAATTTATGTTGCTACATAAAGTTAGATTGTTTCTACTTGGGAATAAGGCAGAAGGTATAAGACTAGAAGATGGGTCAAGTTTTAAGCCTGTAGAGTTTTAGGCCACACTTATAGCAGGTGAGCACTGAGTCTATGAAGAGATTATTTTTCAAAGATAAGACATGAGAAAGAAATTCAGCCAGAGGGTGCAAAGAGGAGAAGCTTACTGACTCAGATCCAGAGCAGACACCAACCGTCCTACAAAGAATGATGCAATATGTTGCCATGGCTACATTTCACTAAGAATTTATCTTGCTTCTAGAGTGCACTGAAAAGTGCCACTTTTTGAGGAAAAAACAATAACTATACAATATCAATAGGAGGCACTGTAAATAGTTGGCTTATTTCTTAAACCACCACTACCAAAAAATAAGTCATTCTGTTTTTCCCTTTCATATAGAAATATAAATGGCAAATCTTGATACTTATACTTAATATTTGATTATTGTGTTTTTGTGAAATTCATTTTGAATTTTCACCATCCAAAACATTAACTATTAACCGTGAACATTTAACATTATGTACTGTGAACTTGACTGAAATTGAAACAGAGGGAAAATGCTCAAGAGAAACCCAATCACAGTTAATCAGAAAGATTTAGCCTCTCAGGAGAAGGGCATCAACAAAAATAAAAATGATCCTTTTACATGTCTGGACCCAACAGCTTTGAATCAGTGTGTCCACTTATAACTGAAGAACTACACTGCTTTGACTCCATTAATAAAACCTCTGCTACATTTACTTCAGGGAAACTAAAAACACTTCAAAATCTGCACAAGCCATCTACATCTTGTATTGCAACCTTTAAGCACTACATTGCACCTCCTCTTCTGTAACTTGTCCCTCCACGGCTTGTCTCTCAGTCCCTGTTGATACCCAATTTTCATTCCGTAGGTAGATGTTCATATTTGATGCCTTTGTAGGCTTTGAAACTTTCACTCTTCTGGGTATGACTTCCAGAATGTTCCTGTCACCTTCTTGCATACAAGCCATGAAAAAAGAAAATCCTGAATTCTAACAAACAAATTATTGGGTGGAGGAAGGGAGGTGACTGTTACACTGAAAATTTAGTGGAGACATCCACCTTTCCAGCATTAGCACCTTCTGAGATATGAAAGGAAACTGGACAGCCAGCAACTAGTGAAAATGGATGTTCACAGGAAACAACCCAGATGCATCCTAATTTTCTAAACCCTACTCTTTACTTCCTGCTTCATGTCTACATTTATTGAACTTCTGACTTTATTTGCCTTTATAGTCCCATGCTTATCATTGACTGATATCAATTTTCTTTAGGTTTGAACCTAAAATATTCTATCAACTACATTCTGATCTTTCCAGTCCTATCCTAGCATTTCTAGCATTTCTCCATTCCCACCACTTTCTTTTTTACACACACACACACACACACACACACACACCTACACACATGGTTGGACTAAGTACAAGACAATGGCATTAATAATCTCACCATATTCTGCATTCATTAGAGGTCATCGCAAGCACTGGTTCAGTCCAGATTTTAGCAGGCATGTTAACAAACTAAAAAGTGAAGCATCCAAACACTGTCTTAGCAGGCCTAATGAAATTAGAAAGGTTTAACCACAAAAGAGATGTGTTTAGATCCCTCCATACTAAAACTTAGTAATTTGACTATTCTAAACATGTTGGTTTTAATAGTTCTCAGTAACTTGATAGCAACTATCAGCCATAGTGGCCTACTTATTTGTAATCAGTTCCCTTTTTTTAAAAAAAAAAAGGGGGGGGGGATTTTATCTTATTCTATCCATTTTCTATAACTTGAAAAATAAATTTCTTCGAAAAAATTTTGACGATTACATAGAAGATTTCATGGAGCTACTGCTTCCAATTATCTGATCACGGCAGATGTTCTGAGAGTGTTAGATAAAACCTCCTTATCAGCAATGCATTGCAGTCCCACAGCACTACTTTCCATATTCAACAAAGCCTCTCTTTGCATAGATATGTGTCTGTAAAAAACAGAACACTCATAGGGAGTCTCGTGTGCCATAGAAGGTAATTATAGAGATAGTAAAGTCTTTTCATGCAGGAAAAACAAAATGCTGGGTGTCTCATAAAATTTCAAAACCTGATTTCAAAAGGATCACAACAAAAAGGAAACAAAATTCACCATGGTGGACTCTTCTACAGGTTATACTTGTAAGTATGAGATTCTGTAAAATACTTGGTAAGTAGAAGAAGGTTAACTTGGTATAAATTACTAGTAGATGTTGATTTCAACAACAGGACTGCTAGGAATATTAGCAGTATTTTTCCTAAAGGAAAACAAAACACATGTAAACATATTTTTTTGCCTTGGTTAGACTTTCTGTATTTGAAGTCACCTTATATAAAAGAATCTTTTAATTTGGGCAATAGAGGAAATAATTAGCTTTGGAATATGTTTCCTCATATTACATGTGTTTAATGTACACAAATGTGCATACATTTAATGATATAAAATCAGATACTTTGGAATAGTTTGTTTTTAAAAATCATGTATTATGAAATCATTAATTCCATCAATTTATCAGCTATGCAGATCCCAGGTATGGATTGTTTTAAGGTTTATCTGCAGCATGGTTAATCTTGATGTTATGAAATTTGTCCATGTTGTTCATAAGCAAAGCAACACACAGATTACTTGACTTTGTAAAGGACACATGAAATGCATGGGCTATAGCAAAAAAATACTGCTAAAATGTACATTATCCTAGATTTTTCTAAATTTTATGAAACATACCACATTATAAAATAAACATATTAAATGTTTCTTTACAGATGTAAATATGAAAGGAAAGAATTTACTACTTTCCTATCAGGCTCATCAAATATTAAAATATGTGAAAAAGTTTAAGAAAATTCTTTTATTTTCATGTAACTTGAAGTTTTTCATTTAAATGCTGAAGGAAATATGAATCCTTTTATATAGTACATACCAAATTTGTGTTATTATTAATATACTTATAACCATTCCAAGATTCTATTAGTAAAGTGTTTTTGCTCTTTTAAATAATTATCAGGAGAAAAATTTGTGCCAAAAATGATAATGGAAAACTAAACTTCTAAATACGCTATACTTAAATTGTTTTTTTAAAGTGCACCTTAATTTTACTGAGTGTGTACTGAAAAATATAGATAAGCAAATTAATATTTTTATGTGTAGGATTTAATTTTTGGAATGACACATAACAATGGAACATAATAAAAATTTTTCTCTTCAAATTTTTGTTCCTTCAATTTTTTTAAGTAATACATATAAATTTCATGTTAAAATCCAAAAAATTACAATGTTTAAAATAAATACTCCATCTTGTTAAGATAAATATATTTCAGTAAAAAGCAAGAAGAAATATAAATAAAATATATATTTATGTACATATTCATATAATAATCCATGGTATTAATATAATCCTAGGTAAGGAGTTAATAAATCAAAAATTAGGATGACAACATTCCAGCATTTATAAAATCAAAAAGATATTTATTTAAAACCTAAGACAGGGTATTTATAGAAATCCTTGACAAATATGTATTCTCTAGGAAGCTGACCCCAGTCTCTTTGTTTTCACTTGTTTTATTTTTAGCTTAATGGAATGTTTCTATGTATCAGTACCATCAACATGAGGAAAAAAGGAGTTTTGTTGATTTGAACTTTGGTGAGTTTTTCCACAGTATAAATTAGCTTTATATTGTATTAGTTTAGGTCATTATATACTAGGAACTCTCTTTTGGCCTAAATAGAATTGTAGTTGTATGGAATCTTTAATGTTTATTTTTTACTTGCATACTGATTTGAAGGATATAATTCAACTTTAGAGGCCCTTATTTTTCTAATAAATGAATTTAAATTTATTATTAAAATATATTAAAAATCCTTATCATGAACAACAGTATTTTTTGTAAAAAATAGAATTTATCATCTGTAGAATTACCAAAAATATTCTAAATTTTCTTAATTGTGCACGTGGCAGGAGTTGACTCTGCTAGTTCATATTTTTATGCAAATTATAGGTGGATATGTATTATTTAATGCTAAATATTGTTGAATGCAGGATTGTACATATTTTAAGGTATTATTTTATAAATCCTTTGTCCCTCAGATTGAGAATTATATGTTCTTCATTTTTAGATGAAATTCCAAAAGCTGCATTTTCTCATTTTAGCGGTATGAGAATTTTAATTTCTGTTCCCCATTCGTTTTCCACCTTTGAAAATTACTTTGAAATATTTTGTTGTTGTTTTTCTATCCTTGTTTAATCTCTTTTTCCTTTTATGTTTAAGTCTTGTATACACTTGTCATATAATTTTACCAGTGTTTTGGCTAGAAGAAGTAATAAACTCAGGCAGTCAGTCTGACATTTTTACTTGAACCTAGGTTAAGTATTTGTGAATTTACTTCTTTGTTTCAATGTAAGTGAATCACAAGGAACGTTCTATGATATTCTAGCAGAGTAGTGGTGCATGGTGATTGGGAATCCAGTAGTAATCAATAGAAAGAAACATTGCCCTATAGATGGATATTCAGTTCCACAAATCTTAGTAGACAGGTAGCAAGCCACCAACTTCTGAGCAGTGTCTAGCAGTGGAACTCCAGTCACCGGCACAGAATCCAACAAGTCCTATTCCTTAAGGAACTGGAAAATCAGAAAATCTAAACCAGAAAGCCTCCCTCTGAATCAGTCATGTAACTGAGCACAGGGCTGCTATTTGTGTATACAGTCTTTGCTGCTGCAATTAGAGAAAAAGAAATCACTTCACTACATGAACAGAGCCCGATTTGGGATCTCATAGCTTGGCAAAAATTATCTGCGTAGATCTCATTTCTCTCTCCGTTGTGATGAAGCATCTCTGTAGAGAGAACCATGTGTGTAGCGTACCCAAGGGGATGATCTGGCTGTACTGTCTTCTTGTCATTTTCCCCTCAGCACTTCTGGTCAAATAAATCCCATCTGGTGACCTCAACCTCTCACAATGATACACATTCCCAGATGTATCTGAAGCCCTGTAGAAGACTCACCTAATTTTAAACCTGAGACCTATCTACTAAACAGGTTCTGGGACCTATCACTAAAATACTGTGTCAACAACAGAGATATGGCAGTAACAGAAAGTGGAAGGGAGTGCGTGCAGAGCATACGTACACATGGTGAAGAATGAATAATGTTAATGAAGAAAACTGGTGGGGCCTTAGTTCAAATTTTTAAAAAGTAAGGAATGTAGTCTGCCAGAAAATTTTATTTCCTGTACATACAAAAAAAAAAAAAAAAAAAAAAGCTTAGGAAATATTTCCGGAGTGACAAAGTACAAAAAGCTAAAGGAAGATCAGATAAACTGGGATATAAAGTTTTGCATACTTCTATTTTTCTAATCTTTACAGTTCCACTTGAGAGGAAAGGACATTGAGGATCTGAAAGTTGAATTAACATGTGCAAGGTCATACAGCTAGTAAGAACCTGAACTCAAGTGCATGCTTATCCGGTTGTAGAACCCAGAATTATTTGCATATACTCTGTCACCTCTAGGGAGCTGTGGGAAACCCCTAAATTCTAGTGCATCCAGAAATTACCCTCACTGTGCTTCTGACTGTGGCGAGTGTTACAGACAAGACTGTCGTGCTTTTGCCAAACAATTCCATTAAGCTATTAAACATGACAATGGCATACATTTGAGTTATAGAGATCACCAACAAAATATTAAAATGTGTATACATGTTTCTATTAGATAAAGTGAGGAGACAAGGGGATACAAAACCTATTGTTAAAGACAGAGGGTAGGGGACAAGTCAGGTCCCATTAGAAGGCAAGAATGACTAGTTATACTAACAGAAAGGAAATATGAAGAAAGTAAATTCTTTATTGATTTCCTCCTCAGAAAATGAGCAATAGCCTGTGGGCCCCACATCTTATATTTGATCAGAGCTGAAGACCCTTGAAACTTGAACTCCCTTAATGTTGTTCAGGGTCCAGTTGTACAAAGGATCATTTATGAGCTGTCAATGTAACAATTATTTCGGTGTTGATTATCTTTAGTTGTATTTATCATTGTAGGAAAAGGGTTTTATTTTCATCATACTGCTTAAAGATTGCAAAAGATTACTATTGCCAGCATCACAGAAACCAATATTCTTAGTCTTATACTTAAGTCATCTAGAATTTAACTGCACACATAAATATATCTCTAAAACAAACTCTTCCTTTTGCTCATGCTACACTGAAATTACATTTACATTCAAACTCTTAATTCATGAACTAACCCATTCACCTTTCCTTTGTTCCTCCTTTAAACACATTTAGCTCCATAATCTTCCTCACTTACAGCAGAGAGCCATATAAAAAATCAAATGCATCAGATTATACCTTCCATAAATTCTTATCTCCAAGCCTCCAAATATACTTGAATTAGTACTTAAACTTTTTCATCCATTCCAGTTATAAGAGAACAGTGAATGCTTTAGGACTGCTCCTTCTCCAATGTCCCAGTCACCACATTCTGAATTCTAGCCCATCTTTCTTTATCAGGAATTTAAAATACTATTGATTTTCTCTCTTTTCTCCTGTGTCTTCCATCTCTGTCCCTGGCTACCATCTGCCATCCTCAAGATGTAGCACTCATATTGAAGACTTTATGCTAATGATACCACCTAAAGGTATGTGGGCCTGGATGATCAAATGATATAGTGCTGCCTCTCTGTTTCTACCATATCATTCTGTCAGTGTCTTTCACAAAACACACTCACATGGACAGGGTGGGTAGAGAGAGGCGGGAGAAACAGAGAGAGAAAGAGAGAGAGAGAGAGAGAGAGAGAGAGAGAGAGAGAGAGAGAGAGAGAGAGAGAGAGAGAGTGCCTGTAAGTAGCCACACAAGCAGTTCTCCATTGTTTTGGGCTCTATCTTGTTTCCACCCTTTCTGCTGCACTGAAACTGCTCTTACTGTGGTCATTAATGTTCTTCTCATTAACAAATCTAGCAGCACCTTTCAATCTTTTGTTTTCTTATCCTCTTTCCAGTTTTTAACTCACAACTGGCCACTCTCCTTTTTGATAAGTATATTCTTTGGTTTCTGTGATATCATACTACTCTGGTATTGTCCTGAATGCCCCTCTCTTAAAGTACTTTTCCTAAATGTTTGTGTTCTTTCATCACTCTTCTTGGGTTATGTCTTTTCCTGGATATCCTATATTTTTAGTTCTTTTAAGTGTTTATGAAAACTGACTACCTTGAAGCCAAATCTCTCATTCCATATTTTTCCCTTTCCTTCTCTCACTTTCCATACACATTTGATCAATAAGTTCTAATGGTTGTTTCAGCAAAAGGCCTAAAACCTTTCCGGTCCCCTCAATCTGCACTTCTACCTCCTGGGCATCCTTCACCTGAGCTCCTGCAGTTGCCTCCCAACGGTTCTCCCTGATTTCACTTTTGCCACACTGTGATCCAGTCTAGTCACAAAACCAGTTTCAAATGTTAATACAGCTATGCTGACTTTCAAAACCATCAGTGATTTTCCAACCCTTAATATGAAATCGATGGCCTGCATGGTCTACCTTCTTGGCCTCAACCTATCCTTACAATTTCCTCTCCCACCATTTTCTAGCTGCGCCGAACATTTGTAACAGATTATTGGTCCAATCTGAACTAACATTTTGTCTCAGCTGTCTTCAAGCCATACATGATCTTCCTGCCACAGCTATAATTCCTTCCTTTCTTCAATAAGGAAATGACCATTGTGTTTTTGCCAGAGAGGGCACGAGAAAGAGAAACAAGATCTATGCATAACAGAACACTCACTGGTAGCCAGAGCTTGGCACATAACACTCAATAGATGTTTTGAATGAATCAGTATAGGCTGATATAAAACCTCACCATTTTAGCCTCAGTAGTTCATTGTATATCAGTGCCCACACATGGTCAGCAAACTATTTTCAGCTTTCATTATAAAGTGTGGATTTAATTATTGCTAAAAAATTGTTCAGTTGTTTTCTCAAAGTCTTGAATTAAAAACTCTATTACAAGTAATGTTATATAAAAGCTCCTGGACTAGATAAACTCTACCTGTGTTTTAAAGTCAAAGATTACAGGGCCCAGATGAATAGAACTTTATAAGCAACACCCTTCTCAGAATTCATTCTTTAGGAGTTCCACTTTTTATTTCATTATTTGTACTATTTTACATGACTAATTACAGAGGAACAAGTTTTTGTTCAATATACTGAAAGAGCTTTCTAAAAATAAGAATTGTCCAAAAAAGGGAAGCTTTAGAAATTTGTGCAGTCTTTTCAAACTCTAAATGAGAAGATTTTTCTCAGAGATCTATATTTTTAAAACTCCATTATTTAATGAATAGGTGGGCTGCATTAACTCTAATGTCACTTAGAAATCTAAGTACCTGTATTCTTATATTCATGAGATGAGTCATTTTACTCCCCTTTCTCCTCCTTATCCCCCACATGCTTCAAGAATCTCTACTTATTTTTTCTGATTTATAACTGATTGTAACATACAATTTTTATATTACTGATTTATACAAATACATACTGTATTTATTTAGAAAAATGAGCAGGCAAAATTGCTGGATTTGTAAAATGTGCAGAAATGGATCTAAGAGACTACCTTCAAGGTAAGTAGTTCTTAATTCTATGTCCATTTTAAAGCATTTTTAATTGCATGATAAGTAACTGTATGTATTCAGCTGCTTTCTTAATATATTTCACCGAGGAAGTAAAATTTGCACGTGAGTAATTCTACCAGAAGAGCAATCATGTATTACAGTAATATTCTGCTTTCGTTATTCATAGTTTACACTTGAGAATTCAGCAAGTTAACATAGAGTTTACTATGAATATTTTTAAGGGTTTTTCTTAAAATGAGCCTTTTTTTTTTTGGTTTTTCTCCGGTACCGGGAACCGAACTCACGACCTTGCGCTTGCCAGGCAGGCGCTTTTGCCGCTGAGCTAAATCCCCAG